TACGTGGCAAGAAGGCTGCTTGCAGCCATCTGGTGATACGAGAAGATGAGTAGTGCGACGATGAGCATCATGATGGTCTTGTTGAACGTTCGTTCACCGGACTTGGCCTGCTCGTCCTCCTGCTCCTCGTTAGGGGGTGTGAGGAGATCCTGAGGAAGGACAATGGAGTGCACAGTTCCGAAAGAAGAGCGGCGAAGGTCGATAAAGTCGTGTTCAACTGCCATTCCAAGACTGGACTCGGCGAAGCGAGGTCGTGATCGGCTGGTGGAGGGAGACATGTGTCGTCGGCTGCGAGAAACGGAGGTCCGGACGACAGAGCGTCGGAGAGGTGTGCGCTCATCGATGGATTCTAGATCGTCTATGGCGGGTACTTCTTGGTAGTTGATAACGCCGTTCTCACCCTCGGAGCCGGGCTTAACAAGGGTCTCCTCGAGGAGAAACAGTCCTTGAATAACGGCGATGGCCACAACGACCACTGACACAAGGTTAGGAAGCAGGTAAGGGTATCTTCCAAATAGTCCGTCCTCGGAAAAGATTGAAGGATAGAACTTGGCGGGTTGGGCGAGGAAACCTCCCATCGCCGATCCGATGATGCCGCCAAGAGTCCAGACGAAAGGCTGCACGGCGTAAGCCTTGGCTGCGAAAAAGTTAGCATCTCTGCGATGACTGTAGCCCAAAGAGAAACTCACGCTCATGCTCAGGCAACTTGACCATCTCAGCGACCATTGTCTGCATGACCGACACGTTTCCATTCAGCGCACCGCCGACAAATCGTGCTAGCAGAGCAACCCAATAGCTCTTTGCCAAACCAAAAATGAGACTCGACAAAGCCACGCCAACAAGTCCAAACAGAACGACAGGCTTTCGCCCAACGCGATCCGAAAGGATACCCCATCCCATCGAGGTCAGCGCCTCAGCGACGGCATACGCAGAAACGAGCAGTCCCGCATAGAGTGAAGCATCTTTTTCAGCAATGCCCAAATCCTTGACCATCACAAACGTGTAGGCCAGAATGGAATTGAAGGCAATCGGCTCCGAAAAACGACATATTGCTGTGGTCGTGGTTAGCGCAGTACTCGCTCGTGAGATTATCATGGGTGAGGGGAGGGGTCGTGAGTGAGTGATGGCGGTGAGTGTGAGTGAGAGGCGCGCATACCGAGGATTAGAAGTTGCCTCGTGGGGAAAGCATTAGGATCTTTGTCTTCCCTTGCTCTCAAATTCATGATATTTACAACGGCTCTGGAGATTCCTTTCCTCTTCTCTTGGGGAGCGAGCAAATGATCTGAGAGAGCGAGGGCGTCAAGTTGCAGGACCTGAAAGTGAAAAGGAAAAAACTCTTTTGGCGGGCCTCATGACTCTCAAGTAGGTAACTACTACCTACCTAGACTAGGTAGCCTAACAGAAAGTCCACGGCCGCTGAGTGAGCCAGTGCGTGCGTGCGCTTATGGTACAACGGCCCGCAAACCGACTCGGTGCAACGTAGCGCTACCGTAACCCCCCACGCACGCAAGCTTTGCAAGTTTGCAGCGTTGCCACCCCCCGGTCGGTCACTCTAGTCACTGCAATTCACGACCGACATGCAATGTTTATCACTTGGCGAACGAGGGGGAAATGATCCTGGTTCTCGGAGAATCTCTGCTAATACTGCGGGTATACTCAGCGCATCATCATTATCGCCCCATGCAAGACATGAGCTAAATGGAATGGGCGTTGGCGGAGACTGAATGCCTCTGCGCATTCCCGCGTCGAACCCCTCCCCTCCCTCCCCTGCTCATTACCCAAGATCCCGATAGCCTAGCACCAACACGAATCACTCACTGTATGAGTTTGCTTCTTTTTAAGCTTTGAGACCGACTGACTGGTGTCTTCTTGACCGCTCGGTTCATGGTCGGATGACAATGCAGTACAGTAGCCTGCGCTACCAAAATGCGGGTGATCAGTGAGTGGCAAGCCTTGACCGTGAACGTTTGTTTGCCACTAACGAGAGGCAAAGCCACTTCTCTTTGTCGTGATGTCAAACCGCATGCTCCAGCTGTCAAACAAACTCTAACAATCATAGCGCACGCAAAAAAACGACGACATATCGCATACAATTTCATCACAATACCGATTCAATATTCACTGAGACCAATCAAGATTTTTGTCTCACAGCACCCAGATCTTCCGTCGCACACCGTTCTTCTGCCAAGTGACGACCCGCCCATCTCTCGTGTGTGGCGAAACGGAAATCGTTCAACCCGCTAACGTACGGACGGTACGTCTAGTGGGAGGCGAGCCAATCGACACCGAGTTTTCACAGTTATCATGAGGGCACCCCATGAGGCTGGAAACGGTAAAGACGATTTCATGCAACAGGATGATGTGGTATCGGTAGATGACAGATCAGATCCAGATCTCTACTGTTTCTCTTAGCTTCCCTATTGAGGTCTGAGCTTACTTACTCTGATCTGCAGGCTTCTTTTCACTGCACGGGCCCGGGACATCCGCAATATCGTATTGGATCGAGAGATAAGCACGATTAGGCGCTGAACCCCAGGAATTGACGGCTATATGCAGAGTAATACACCCGTACCAATACATCGTATCCTGTGAATTATCGAGAGGCTGAAAAGCTTATGATAGCACAGCATTAGTGCATGAATATGATACTCTCGTGAGCTGGCCAGCTTGGTACTGTACCCCGCTCGCTCACCGTTGCTTCAGTTCCTGGTGGCTGGGGGCTGGCACTTCAGTCTTGACAACGAAAGTCGGTAATTGAGCGATGCTTGTTATACAACGTATGATCCAGCTTGTATCCCTGGTATAATCCTTGATGATGCGCGAATATGATACAAGCTCCGCGTTACTGGTACTTGGGTACCGTCCCCGCGCGACTGAAGACACGGAGCATGTGAATTTCTCGAAGAGGTACGCTGAAACATAGCATACAAATGGAAGTCTGCTCATGGAAAACAAGAATGGTGCACCAAATACTAATGCCAATGGGCAGTGATTCCACGTCCGCTGGTGTATCGTCTCCAATTTCACAATCCGGAGCAAAGCTCCCTAGCCACGACAATTTCTGTTTCTTGTAAAACAATGGTTAACCACCCCGGCATGTGGCTGACCCTTTGCGCTCATCAAACAAATTGCTTTTGCTCCATGTGCGACAGATCATCTCGAAAACCGGACTGCTGATTCATTATATGCTTCTGTATAACCGTCGCTGGTAAATACGGTGGGTAGCACGAGCTTCGTATTGACTATATCCCTGCAATGTCTCAATATTTTATGCACGGGGAAACAAGCATCTGCAGTGGAAACGTAGTTTGCGAGACTCATTGGGGAAAGTCTTATCGTCATAGAAGGTGAAACAAACACAGCACAATGTCTTGGGCCTTGTTGAGCCGTTCCGTTGGTTTCACTTGTAATTTGTTATTCACTGACTTGTCCCTGTATCAGGTTGTGCTGCCATGGTGATTCATCGGAATGGAATCATCGAGATCTTCACAGTCCTTGTCCGTACCCTAGAATGAGCTCTACTTTACATGCTGTGTCACCATTGTTCCAGAAACGGAGGATATTCGAGTCGGGGGTACACGGATTTAGAAGTAGGAAATGTCTCACTTAAGTCTTGGAGCAGCATAGATATTGACGGCTAAATTTAATAACAATAAAGGGACGGCAATAGTTGACCATGACCATCGTGAAAGAGGAATGATGCTGAATTTGGGTTTCGCATGTTTGGCCGTCCGCAAGCTATGCAAATTTGGTTTTGGGACGTTCCTGGAGCTCCCCGTCCAAGATAATATCAACCTTCTCGTTGTAAAAGCAGACTTGTCGTGCAATTGCTGCGCTCTCGAGAGTTGGGTGGTTATAATACCAGACCAGGTTCTCGAACGTTTTCCCGTCGATGACAATGTTGTAATATTCGGCCTCGCCCTTGTACGGACATTTGGATCTGACAGGGCTTTTCCACAGGACAGTTTGGTCAACAGCAGACAATGGAAGGTAGTAACGAGTCGGCAAGCCTGTCTCCAGGAGATGCATGGATGATGTAGCTTTCGCAACAGTTGTGCCGTTAACTTTGACTTCAATAGGACGCGTGGAGTGAAGTATATCAACTCGCTTGAAGGGATCTTTCGCGTGTACGAAGATTGGTTCATCTTCCTCAAACCACTGATCTGATATCTGTCAGTAAAAAGTCTCATCAAGTCATCTTCGAAAGCTTACCTATACTGCGAAACTCAATCCGCACCATATCCGAAAGTGCCCCAAGAGTGACATCTTGAAAGAAGTGCACAACATTGTCAACCTTTGCCTCCTTGATACTATCATGAGCCGGGATGACGAGTTGGGCTATCGCGGCCCTCTCTTTGAGCTCCACCGAGATGTTCGTCTTATCAACCAGCTTCGCGTTCTTCACATCAACCGCCGGAACATAGATAGTGGGGAAACTGTCATGTTCCCAAACATAGGCTCCGTGAGTAGTATCCACAATAGTGGTATGGTTATGGACGGCCCGTATGCGGCGGGATATCTGCATCGTCTTGCGTGAACCATGCTCGATCAGGCTCTGGGCGAGCTCAACAAAACGGGAGGCACTACCCATGCTGTAATATAAATAAAAAATATTTACTATTCGAGATTTTGCGTTTGTAAATGAAAATTTGATAGTTCAAAAGGATGTTGGGTGAAGATGAGTACCCCGCTCAATGACGCAGACAATATCCGGATGGTGATCTTGATTTATAATCATCACTGCAGGAAGACTAACTCGAATATGAGAATTTCTATGACATTTTACATAGCTACTAATATTATCTGGGTTTGTCAAATATCCTTTGAAGTGTAAACTGTTCCCACTTTGTTGCAAGTGTATTGCTAGCTTTGACTGTAGTGATACTAGTGCTTTCACTTCCTATATCAATCTCTGGTGAGCTGGCCTTAATCATACAGGCAATATTACTTCTCTCACTGGAGCAGTATCAGATGCAGCAGAAATCATAGCCACAAGTAACTTAACTCCTTCTGCAAAGCTTGCCTGTATCTAGACTATAATCCCAAGCATCACTTCCGACTCCAGATAAAACCCAAAGACTCTCAGTGGGGTCATGTTTTGCCTTCACCGCTAACAAATGATCATAAAAGGCTCCATAAAAGTCCTTCTTGAAAGATGGGTTGTAAGGATTTGCTTCGTTCATATACGCTTCAGTATCTGGCGCCCATTCCTGCCAGAGCTTTTCCTTAGAGTCATTCAGCTCACGAGCTCCTTTCGCTAGTGTCTCTGCCGGTGTCAGAGTGGTGTCGAGAGTCAAACTGTAGCTCATTGTATGGAGATAGGTTGATCGCCAAGCTGGTAGAAGCGCGCCTCGCATGCTTCTTGGTGTTTTCGCAGGACCTGGTCCACCTTGCAAGCCGATCACAGCCATACCAGATGCTTCTGGGTCGGAGTTCGTAAGCATTCGCTTGAGATAGCTAATCAGCTTCTTCTGGTCGATTTCGGATGTCTCTGGACGGCCAAGAAGTCGACTGGACGGCATTGAATAAGCTCCGGCCTGGTTTGAGCCTCCAGCATTCAAGGCTTCGAAGAACCCCTTGTAGGTAGGATGGACAGTTGTGTTGGAAGCAACGATAGACAGGATGTCACAGTTATTGCCAGTGAAAGCATGGATCTTGTTGATGGCCATCTGAGTCAACTCTTCGGTGGCTGCCCTTGACTTGTTGAAGGCATAGAACCCCTGGCTGACGCTGACACCGGCTAAGCCAGCATCCATAAGATCAGGAAGTACACGCAATAGCTCTGAGAAAGCGTTCCAGGTCGCTTCGTATGCAGCTGAACTGTTACCACGTGGAGATATGGTGAATCCGGTTTCAATGACACTCGGTGCGGGATAAGCTTTCAGTGCGTATTCAGTAACGATACCGTACTGTCCTGCGCCACCCCCTCGAATGGCCCAGAGCAGGTCCTGATTTTGAGTGTCATCGGCAGTGAGTATGTGACCCTGAGTCGTTACAACTCTCACTTGATATATGTTGTCAGCGGCCAAGCTAAAGGTGCTCGACAACGGACCATGACCACCGCCTTGGATGTGCCCACCCAAGCCAACTGTGGCATCATTACCACTTACAATAACGTGGCCGTGCTTGAGGGCGTGACCAACTGCACCACCATAAGTGAGACCGCTTGCGGCGATAAGCACGGTATCTGTCTTATTAGTCCCAGGCACTATCCAGTTCGGATCGAACTCGACACGTTGCATGTGACGAGTCCAGATGGACAGAGAGTGTGCACCACTAGATCTATGAGAACATTATAAGTAACGGTCTCGAGGTTCGGGGCTATAAGGAATACAAACCTCCCGGATAAGTCATGGCCAGTTCCCTTGACAACGATGCGGATATTTCGCTCTGACGCCCATTTGACAGCGAGAGCGATCTGTTCATCGCTCGTCGCATTTATAACATAGCTCGGATATCCACCTAGATGGCAACCAAGCGTTTTGTTATAACCTGGAGCTCCAGGGGGCAGGCAAGAATTGTTGGCGTATAAAGGGGCCGAAATCGACTTGGGAAGGTTGGCATGGAACGTCGATTGAGTCCAGTTGGCTTCAACGATGTTGCAGTTCAACTTTGCATCAAAAGGATTCGTTTTGTAACAGGAGGATGCAGCAGGGCGTGTTTTGATTAGACTGCCACTGATAGAGTTGTTCAGGGCAGCCCATTCAGCTTCAACAGGCCAAGTCGCATCAAAGGGTGAAAGTTTGCATCTTGGCGGCTCTGTTGAGGAAGCAAGGCCTGCTGAACATAAAAGAAGCGCAAACAAACGCATTATTTCTGTTAAGTTGAGGTAATGTTGAATTCAGTGTCTTGTTTGAGGCCTCCTCTGGTCGCAATCGGCTCTTTTATAGCACTCTCGGCCTCGCTTGGCAAGGTACACGAATTGCCGGGTCTCTCGGACACTACGAAGATGGCTGGCTGCTCCAGCATTTTCGTATATCTGCTCCCCTTTTCGTATTCTAAATCAAGGAAGGGCCTTGCAACTCATACGTGGCATGTGGGTTTCACCAAGCCATGATTATCCACTGCCGGTCTTTTCTTTCCTAGCGCCGTCGGCGAATTATTGTTGTCATGAAGGACACGTCATGGTTTCAATCTACTTTAATTCCGAATATTATTCATTGGGTAGAGTCCGTGGAACTACAGCCGGAGAGGGAGAGAGGGTCCGAGGTTACGGGGTGTCGTAGCCAATCGCTGGTTATTCGGACAGCTAGACCAAATTGCACTCCACCTCTCGGCAACTTTTTCGAGACTGTGTATCAGCTTGCAACTAGCGAAAGTGTCAGTGCGGCAGCCTTCTCTGAGGACATCAGCTATAAGATGGCAGAAACGGATCTTGCACTTCTCTCTTTTTGTTCTTGCCCCAGATACTCTATTTCCGCCCTCCTTTCACAATCATGGGCTTAGTCCAGTTCGAGGATGGTAAGGTCCTCTATTACCCATATACACCTTCGACTGCAGCTGGATACGGTTTCATGGCATGCTTTGTCATTGTAACATGCGTACATATCGTCCGCGTGGTGCAGACCAAAAGGCGGTTTTTCATCCCTATGATTCTTGGTGGTATATGTATGCCTTGCCACGCCATCACGAAGAACGCAACTCTTACTGACCGTCCACTTAGGCGAGACGTTTGGATATTATGGCCGTGCTTGGGTCGGCCAGCTACCCAACTCACCCAGGCCATTCATGTTACAACTCATGCTCATTCTCGTCGCGCCAGTGTTTGTCTGCGCTACTATCTACGTCACGCTGGGGCGATTAAAACACCGTATCCTCGGTCGACCGAATCGAAAATGCAGCATCACAGTGCTTTTTATTCTCACCGATATCGTGGCTTTCTGCTCGCAGATCGGCGGTGGTCTCGTCCAAGTTACTGGCGATCTCAACCTCATGAAGATTGGAGATCATGCTATTCTGGGCGGTCTCGTCTTTCAATTGGTAGTTTTGGCTATTTATCTGGGCCTGGTCTACAGGTTCTGGAGAGAAGCTAAGGGGCAGAATGATATAAATGGTCCTCGATGGCAGCCTTTCACAGCAGCGTTGGCTGGAACGGTGGTAGCAATTTGGATTCGAAATCTGGTCCGCGCAATCGAGTTTATGCAAGGGTTCCATGGTTTCATCAGCGAGAATGAGACCATGCTATATATCTTTGACGCATTTTTGATGTTACTGGTCATGGTAGCCTTTATTCCATTTTACAATAGTAGTAGTATAGTGCCGCAGCACGTCAAGGGAGGATGGGACGCTATCGAGCTGGGTCATTGATAGTGCAACACCAAGGCTGATGTGATTTTTCGAAGTTCTTAGATTCGAATAGGAAAGGTCCTAGATCCAAAAACGGTTCATATTGCCCTTACCACTTCCGTTGGCCATTGAAGAAAGCTAGAATACTCGTGTGCTGTGTACTTATTGCATACAAAAAGAATATGTTCAGCCCAGCCATGTATAAACCAAGCTCTCTTCATAGTATGTGCCAAGGGTGCGTAATAGGCTAGTATCAATAGCGCTATAGAGTCTTTGGTCTGCAGGCAGTCAATGAAGGCATCTTCCATCATGTAAACCCAAATAAGAACACTCTTAAAGTGTAGTGGGCATTTGATAGACCCATCAACATTGCCAAAGGTGGCTTCGTAGATGTAGGCAATGGTTTCTAGAGATCGTACATAATCTTCATTGCGCGGGTGTGATACTGAAACAATGACATTGCGTAGTTTCTCAACCGGGTCAACCCAGTCGACCCGAGCGAAGCCCTCGCAGATGTAGGTTGGGCGGGGGTCATCAGGAGGCGCCTTGCCGCTACCGAGTGCCTCAGTAAGCCCAGAGAACAAGACCTGTTCTTCAAAAAGCTGCCGTATAAGTCTTGTGCCACGGGCTAATGAAAGAGAGCTATGAGGCGAGTTGCCATTGGCTAGACACACAAATAGATCATCAGGCCCCGTGGGACCTGCTGCAAACACACAGAAGCAGACTGTTTTTACGCGGCTGGCCTCGTCCAGGTTTCACCGGGGTAATCGGTGCGGTTGTGAGTGAAGATGCCGGTACGACTGGATGAACATCGTATTGACATTCCAAATTAAACCTGGTGCAGCTGGTGCACGTCGGTTGAAGTTCATCACACTATTCACACGGTCGTAAGTACTTGATGCACTATGCATGGATAACTCTAACCTTGACTTTGCGCCGCTTGCAATTGGAGCAACCATTCTTGGACTTATGATGAAACTTCTTTTTAGACCGTTGATTTGGCAGCATTGTCGAATTGATATGCAACTGCTTGAAGCTATCCAGTCGGCAGAAAGCTGATTTTTCGCATAGACTGAGGTGGTTGCAGCTAACTTATAACCTCGCCACGGCCTTGAATGTTTCCGGAAAGTTCGGTGTCAAGTTTTTTTATCCACAGTTTAAGAGGAGTGGAGCTACTGAGAGCCAACCGGCGATATTTCGTTCAGCTAAACGCTGAACCCCACTGGCCTAGTAGCACCCATTATGCATGTCCTGAGTGCCGATAAACTTGGTCCAGGAGTGGTAGGGTTATCACCCCGGTGCGTGTGCTGGGTTCTAACTAAGCATGTCTAGGCTGTTCATAAGTTTAGTTCTTAAAGCTGCTCATATCCAGGTGCCCCCCTTGGATGCTGACGGTTGCAGAATATCGAAATGTCTGTCTCAAGCTCCCAGGTCTCATTTGAGCAGGGCCTCAGGGAATGCCGAAACCCGTCTTCGCATAACCATCGATGTTTAAACAGCATACGAAAGCCTAGAAACACAGTGCTTGTAGCATCCAGAGGAGTCAGGACGCGGGTATTAACCTCGAATCCACAGCTTCAACACTTCTCGGCCAAGATACCTCGTTTTGCCAGGGACAGCCTGTAATGGAAAGAAGCCTTTGTCCGTGTTATAACTGACAGGCTTGGCTTGCCAAACGTCGACTGATCGGACTGATTAGGTTAGTGGACACAGGTCTTATCCAACCCGAAGATTGGCAACACTCGTTGTCCATTACCTCGCGTTCGAACCTTAACAAGGATAAGCCAAAAATGCCATTATGCACGACTAAGTCAACTCATATCCAGAAGGCTCGCCTATGCATCACTGCTCTAGGTCTTTACATAACTGAAACATGCAAGGGGGGAGGAGTTCATGTCCTGGCCCCTGGTTTCCAGCCTTTGAAGCATCGGTGTGTCTACGATACCTACGATTTTACAGAAACGTTTTTAAGAGGCCGAAATACTATTCTTATCCTGGCTGCAGAGGGTTGGTACGCCGACTCTTCTTCACACCGAGAGGGCGAGTTCGGGGTCGTTCGGGGCCGTTCGGTGCCATGTGACCTTTGGAGGCCGCTCTCAGCAATGACACTGCCCAGTTTCATATACCATCTGATGCGAAGTGATTCTACAGCTTTGGCCCTCTATCTGATTCACTGACTCACGATGAGGAGATCTATGATCCAGGGCGGGTCAACGACATCTTTTGACAATGGCCATTGGGTCAGCGTCCAAGAACTAACCACCACCATCCGCGGCTCTCGTCCCATCAGGCAGTACGCCTGTTTGAAAGTTGATAGAGCTTCAAATCGAGGAGGTCTTCCAGGCGGCTTCGGGCAAGGTTGTAGTTGACTTTGGTCAGAACTTTGCTGGTTGCGCAGGATTACTGTTCGTGGCCCCAGCGGTATCGCTATCATTCTCACATAAGGTACGCTGAGGTACCAAAAAATGGCGAGATAGGAACCAAGCCTTTGAGCACCGCTGATTCAACGGATCACTTCATCCTCAATGGTACTGACCAGTAAGTTTGAGAACCTCAGTTCACATTTAACGGCTTTCGTTATGTTGAGACTCACAACTGGCCCGTGAAGCATACTCCCCTAGAACTACAAGCCGTCACCGATATTGCTTGGAGTCGCAGTACCTTGGTACCGCATATAATTGTGGTATGCTGTCCTCATACTCCGCAATTCATGATCCTAGGAGTTTATGCAGTGAGATTTTAGTCAGTCATAAAAAGAGGCTTTGCTTCAAGTATGATCCTCTATTGAGGCGGAGTCATAAAAGGCAGCCTCGGGGAGCAAGAAAACACCGGATCTTAATCTAAGGTGCTAAAATAAACTTATTAAAGATCCCCTAAACTTAGGCTAAATTTACCTAAATATTTTTATCGCTTAAAGTTAAGGTTTTATGTTTTCTTTCCTCCCCTAGGGCAGACAGGCGGCATGACTCAGCTGACTGCAAACACCTTTGACATGCTACAGCATATCACAACATAAATGAATAAGTATCTCTTGCTTCCATCCTCCTTAATATTTTGAAGTATCATCATTCAATTATTGCAAATCTCAAACACAAAGACAAATACAAAGACTCAACCACCAAAAGCCTTTACTATGACAACCCAAACGAGATTCACCGGCTCTCGCATCAACGTCAAATCCATCGAAACCCCCTCCAGCGCAGAATGGCGAATCCGTTTATCTGGCCCAAACATGAGGAACCTCATGAATGGCCATCGTCCACTGGACATGGACGATAAATGGATGTGCATGACAACCGGGCCTGCGGAGCAAGGATTGATTCGTGTACGCATGTGCAGAAGTTGGTCAAATCATGAAATTATCGCTCTTATCGGGCGCGTCGGAAGTGATGATGAAGCAATGATTGCCGAGGAAGGCGGAGAGATTTTGGCGATTATGTGGCCGACGCCCAAAGAGGACGAGTATGACCCTTTTGATGAAGAGAGTGCGAAAAAGTTTGCTATCGGGTTCTGTCGACATTTTATGAATTGCGAGCTGGATGGTTGATGGGTATATGAGGGTGAATAATGCTTTTTCTGCGAATGTTCAGGTTATTAATGGTGAAATCGCGTTGGGTTTCTTTGGTCGGTATGTAGGATAGCTCATGAAAGAACGCCGATGCTCCAATTTACCAAGATCTTTGCTGTTTCCCCAAGGCCGCCTATTTTCTTGATGAAATAGCGCGTCGCTGCGTTAGCTTAGCTGTCTGCGTCGTGGCCTCAGCGTAACTGACTGCGCGTTCTATCCTCTCATTCAAAATCATCGCGTAGGGTCGCCTCTCGGCGGTGAAGGCATTCGTGCGGATGCAGCTCTGACCTCCAGTCTCTCGGTCGCTCTGCGATGAGTCTCTGCGACCGGGCGGGCTGTTACGGTATACGCTTGTTGATGGGGCTGCTGGACTTGAAACGGTTGGCGATTGTTGATCAGCGGTGCCGAATCCGCAGAACGGTTTGGGAAGAGATCATCAATGGCTTCCATGAGATCCTCGTAGAGGCCTTTGATGAATGGTAAGATCCCGCACATTTTTCTGAGGGTCAAGGGTTTACGAGAGTAAAGTGTCGTGAAAATGTTGACTTTTTTAATAACCCGTGACGGGGAAAAGAATCTGTGCAGAGATCACGTGCATCCGTGTCACAATGAACAAGCTTCGAGGAATAACCTCAACAAAGACACAGACGCATGGGCCGGATGGATTAGGAAAGTAATCTTCTTTTTGGTATCTTGTTATTTTTATATGTGTAGTAAAAGCGATCCGTGGCTCTACATCTTGGGTTTCCTGCCCGACTTCTCGAAATGGCCTGCCTCGCCAGTGCTTCCCTCTCTGCTATCCTGCTCTTGAGCATTCTGACTGTTGGTATTCTTCTCCTTCTCTGTCATGTTCTTGTCTTCGAACGAGCTCGCGTCGCGTTTTGCCGGTGCGGCCTTCAACGAAGCCATGGCTCCGTCTGAATGATCGGCGACTGGTGGATTGTTCTTGTCATGGTTGGGATCGGAGGACACTGGTGTCTTGACCTTTCCCGAGTTCATGCGGAATGAGGTGTATGGGCTTAACAAAGGCTGGTATCGAAGTGCGGATGTGACGGTCGGGATGCGTCTGAAAGAAGAGAGGGTTTGGCGCACGCTGGTCATGATAACGAAGAGCGGAGACGAGTAGACAATGGACTTGCTGGAGATCTGAGAATTTCTGCAAAAGCTTGAGTGACTGATGTTGGAATTTGTGTGTTGAATGATCGAAGAAGAAAAAGGATCGTGGCTGTTTCTTAGGTCGTTGCTGGAGCAAAAGTAATGACGACATTTCGGAAGCCAACATATCGTCAATCATGACAATGGTTGATGTCATTGATACATCAATTGACTTGCCCTCGAGGTTCCACAAAATCCCAACGCGAACTCCATTGCCCGTGATCAGTCTCGATTCTCGACTTGTCCTGGGTTTTGCTTCTCAAATACCAATGGAACTTCTCCTCTCAATGCTCTCCAATGATTAGTTGCCCTCATCAGCTCGGGACATCCTTCGACAGTCCATCCCCATCTTTCCAGAAACCGAGGCGTCACCTCCCAGCTCTCCATACGATGCGGCTCTCCCCAGACAATCAAGCCACGCCGATCTGAAGCATAATCGCCAGGTTTGCCTCTCGACACAAGTCGCCGTCCGCTTGGCCCAGTGCCCTCTCCATATTTGTTGAACATGATGTCGTCCAGTAGATCTCCCATTATGTCCGTGACAAGTAGCCGATGATTGAACTGATCATGGTAAGTGATAAGATTGTCTCTCATCTTTGGAAACGGAATGAAATCGATCCAGGTTGCGTGTACCGTTGTTGCCTGCAGGGCTGTAGGACGAAGATGAGGCGGCACATTTAGGCCTGTCTCGACACAAATCGCATCGCGCTTCAAGCCAACCATTACATCCAGTTTCTCAGCCCGACCCTCTTCCAGTACAAGATGATCCGTCACTTGTGACATGGTTACTTTGTTCTGAAAAAGCCCTCGGAAAGCATTGTAGTTTATGAGATACAGAAGATGGTCCGAGAGAGGAGACGCCCCACCCTTCAATGCCCTTAGACGTTGATGGATGTTGAGCTGCTGGCTGTATAATTCAACATCTGCGGTGCTCAGCGTGCCCTTGTATATAGTGGTAAGAAACCATCTCTGGTCTTGCTTAGTGACGGAGTATCCCTCGTTGTCGGCTCCGGCCTCGAGATCGAATTCATCTACCCTCCAGAGCTTGACTCCAAATGTGGACCTTTGCTGCTTGGCCCGGGTTTTGGCTGTGTCGTCATTGCTCAGGCGATTTCCTGCTTGCAAAAGTTAAAGATGGCCAAGCTACCCTCCAAGATAAGAAGTATTGTAATCAGAACTGTCCATCAACTACTTACGGCGAGCTCGTTGGTTGATCCTGTTCTGCAGCTTACGCCGCTGCTTTCTCTCCGCATCTTCCATAATCGATGGAATTCGTGACAAGCCTTGCTGAACTCCAGAAGTATGATGAGTCCAAAGACCAGCGGGCTATAGCGAAAGTAGTAAAAATGTAAGCTTTGATGGAAAACCTGGTCGAATGGGGGTTTGTGACAGATAAAGTCTCCATGCGAGCTGACGTGCCGAAATATGTCGCGCTAATACGAATCGAGATAAAAAGTCATCCTCGCATGATATGATCTGCTAAATCCGATCGCGAATATTCCTCGAGCCCTTGCTACACGTTTCCATTTAGTGCCAATGATGCGCCACTGACAATAACTCCGTCCAAGCGACCAGCAGCACGCATGGTATACCTTGAGGAATCCTTCGGTGATCATTCTCTTTTGGGTCATAATGTCATCAGGATTTGAAGAGCGACATAGCATGGGGGTTTAGGTAATAGTTTTTGGGCTGCTTCCTGAGCTGCGACAATGGACTATAAACTCAGGAGAAGCTGCAATATTCTACCAAAGTCTCTTCAATTAAATTAAACATTCCATTTCAACGCAATAAACCTGCTTCTCAAATTTCAATTTATACAGCTTTAACATGTCTCGTTACGCCTCTCTCTACATCAACCCCCAAGGCCCAGGTGACAACCGGCCAACTGCTATGCAGGTAGTGCAGGATGAGCAAATGCAGAACCAACTCGTTGGAAAGGCAGCAGTCATCACTGGCGTTTCATCCGGTATCGGCATAGAAACCGCACGGGCGCTTGCTGCTACAGGCATTAAGCTCTTCCTGACTGCCCGAAACCTTGATAAAGCCAAGGAAGCTCTCGCTGACTTCTGGAACCCGGATCAGATGAAGCTTGTGCAACTTGAGCTGAGCTCCATGGAAAGTGTTAGAGCTGCCGCAAAGAACATACTTTCAAAGACCGACGAGCTCAGTATCTTCATCGCCAATGCTGGTGTCATGGCCGTCCCAGAGCTCACGACTACTGCCGATGGCTTTGAAGAGCAGTTCGCTACGAATCACTTATCTCACTTCCTCTTATTTGAGCTCCTCAAGCCTAGCCTTCTCAAAGCGTCAACTGAGAAATTCCAGTCTCGGGTCGTTGTTGTCTCAGCTACTGCTCATCGCATGCAAGGCATACCCGTTTCGAACGACTACAACTATGAGACCAGTGGTGCCTCGGCTTATACGCCATGGGAAGCATACGCTCGCTCCAAAACCGCCAATACCTACATGGCCAATGAGATTGAACGCCAATATGGCTACAGGGGCATCCATGCGACTAGTGTTGCCCCAGGACTGGTTGCCTCGAACATTGGTCGTCATATTCCTCAGGAAGTGATGGCAGGGGTTATTGGTGACAAGATGCATGAGGTTCAAAGCCTCGAGCAAGCGGCTGCAAGTACCTTGGTTGCTGCCGTCGGCAAAGAATGGGAAGGAAGAGGAGGTTTTTACATCACAAACTGTAGTGCTGCGGAACGGGGAGAAGATGATGGTGCTTCGACTTCCTACACATATGTTTCTCACACTTACAGTCCCGAGGATGAGCAGAGACTTTGGAATGACTCACTCAAGATGGTAGAGAAGTGGAACAACTCTAGCACCGAGCACATTTGAGATGGGTTTGCGGATCAGCTGTATACATACAGGTCACCAACCAGCTCTACGTTTACCTAATTTCAATTTATATTCCGCTCACAACTTCACAACTTATCATACGGACACATATAGTGGACTAATTATCGCATTCAGGATTTCACACAATTAATCAGGTGTTCTTAGCTCCAGTCACGTTATGTTCCAGCATTAAAATGGCTGTAGTATGGAATAGGTTTAAGAAAGGTGATGTTGAAAATTGGAAAAAGATTTCCATAGGACAGCCTCATATCCAGCTCTTTTGTGCAAAAGCAAAGGACATCATCGACCTCCATGTTTGCTACTATGTGAGGACCCAATGCTTCAAACATCGGTGAAAGATTTGAAGGCAGTCAGTAAAAAGGTTCCAAAAATTCCTATACCGGGCGCACCCAGTATAGAGAAGGGGATGGCTTGATTGAAGGAATAGGCAGCAAAATTCCTCTCTCAGCTTATTGCTTCACAGAGCAGGAAAAGACCCATGCACTAGGGTGTATAAAGAAGAAGAAAAGGAAAATTAAAGAAGGGGGGCAAGGGCGAGAATTTATACTCGTTCTCTTTAAGCCAACTTGACAAGGTTCAGGCAGTTATTCAGTCCAAAGAAAGTATATGAGTGTGGCGGAAGGTTATACGTCTTTCAGAGCATTCCCAGAGGCCAGATACTGATGCTTTCGCCTGTTAAGTTTCGCAGTCTAAAGTCTATTTCTCCAGCCTTCGGGTCTTTCCATAGCATCCACTCGTGTGCAATGCTGCCTGGAGACTGATCACTATTGGAGAGCTTATTGGTGGTAAGGTTGTGGACTTGTGTAGGCAAACATATTTCTTTCAAGTGTATATGAAGGCTATAAAATGTCTTAAAACTTGTCATGGGGATGTTCTCCATGCGCTAATGGGGCATTATGTGAAAGTGCTCTCAACCCAGGAGCGTTCTCTCTCGAGAAACTCTTTGAAGGTTGTCAGAGGGATTCTCCAGCCCCGAACTTCTCCTATATCGACCTTGTTTCCCAACCCTCTCGTCATCAACTGTATAGCAACAAAGATATCCTCATTCTTCTTCACCGCGATCTCATCATCAGTCATATAAACAGCTTTCAAAGGCTTTCCGCTTGCTTCGCCCAGCTGTTGCATGATCTCATCAGGCGAGAGCTTCTCGCTTGCAATTTCGATGGTCTGCTGATTGAAGCGGTTTGGCTCATGGAAAGCCGCCACTGCGAACTTTGCAAGGTCCTCGACGTCCATGACTGGTAGCTCTTCCTCGGGCGTGTAAGCAGTTGACCACGTGTTGCTAGCTACGAGGCCAGAGCACATGATATTGACTTTAGGCGCCAGAAAGTTACACATGAAAAAGCCCCCTCGAAGAATTGTCCACTCCTCGAAGCCAGCGTCTTTGACCAGATTTTCGACTTCTTTCTTCCAGCCGTGGGCGCGTCCAACAAGGTGTTCTGGGTCATGGTATTTGTCTTTTTCCATGTCTTTGATAGCCATACCGCTGGAGTAGATCATGTGTTTGACGCCAGCTGCCTTCGCTATGTTGATTATACGCTTCGCTGCCGGTACCTCTGAAGTGAGCGTGGTGATGTTTGGTACCAGATTCATGAATATGTGTGTGCATCCGCTGATGACCTCTCCGAGAACTGCTTCGTTGTCCCAGTCGCCAGGGGTAATTTCAGCACCTTGGTCTTGGAGTCTCTTTGCAGCGGGAGAGTCCATGTTGCGAGCCGTAGTACGTACGGTCCAGCCTATCTCAAGTAGTCGTCTTGCAACTGCGGATCCTTGGGAACCGGTAGCACCGGTGACGAAAACGACATTATGTGACATTGTGTGAATCGTGGAAATGACCTCCTGGATTGGAGTCACCATGAATGTATTTTAGTCGCTTGTATGAGCTACTTTGAAGTTCAATAGCCTTGGCCATGTGGGTTTATATACTACATATGGGTCGTTGCTATGCTATATTGAAGTGCGGAGTTGCGGACTTTCGTTGTCCTACTCCTACAATAGTCCTTGACCCTCAAAACATTCTATTCGTGCTAGGGCCGTGGTATCCATTATAGTCTGGCCATGAAGGATTCAGATGCATCCGCTTTAGATAATCATGTACGCGGGAACCAATAGCATCACGGGACGGCCGTCGTGTTGTTCCGTGTCTGATTAATGTGAGGAGCAACTCCGCGAAGGTTTTGCTTTGATTTGTCACGACAACGGCGGGCCCCGTGCGACATATCACAGCGCGAGGCAGAGCCAGACATATAGAGGTCCTTCTATCCATAGAATTCAGATAACATAAGTTCTATCTACACGTGTCTGGCCTTCTTCAGTGCATGACAAATCTGGGCTTGTTCGTTACTTTTCTTCTCATTCATCGACTTTTCCGCAAACAGGTCTCATGATGTCATCAAGTGTTTGCACTACTCTTGAGGCTTTTGTCCACATATGACATATCTGTGTTTGTGTTAGTTGTCTTTCCCTATGGTCGAGGTTCATAACTCACATGGGCCAATATGCGTGGATGGAAGGGTCCTTGAGATCCTTTCTAACATCAGTCAGGAAAACATCCAACTGAGGTTTTGACCAGCCCAGGACTCTAGTGAAGAGAGCACTGCTGATCCCGTCAAGACCACTAGAAATATTCTCGAGGGTCCAAGAACCTAAATCACCGTCAGTTGTATTCTTAGATGGCACCAGGAGGTATTCGTTTACCTAATTCTTTATACTTTTGATCCTTAGGCCAACGGTTTTGTGGCCATTTAAAAACCTGCTGTGTGACGTTCTGGAAGCCAGCAGCCTCCATCTGTGTTTTGTAGGTCATTGTTTCACCAAAGGGTCGACCCATCTTTTCTGTGGCTTCAAGTAAGAGTTTTGACCACTGATATAGAGCCGTTTCAGGAGTCATGGTGCCATCATCAGAGGTTGGGGGAAGGATATCCACCACCTCCATCCAGCCACCTGGATTTAGATTGGTGAAACTTTGTCCGAAGAACCGTGGCCAGTTGGCAAGCGAGACCGTCATAAACCTGGTATAGATATAATCGAATGGCTCGGAGAATGTCCAGTCTTCCTCCACGTCATCAATCTGAAACTCGACGTTAGGCGGCACGAATGCGGGCTGGATTGGGCTCAAGTCAACGCCGACGACAGTCGCTTCAGGATGATCATCACCAAAGTCAATTGCCCAGCACCCTGTACCTGTGCCGATGTCTAATACCCGTTTTACAGGTCTCTCGCCGTCTTCAAAGATGGGCGCAAGGTATAGCTGGTTGTCAAAAGTGAGGAGACAGAGTGCATGCTGAAGATCTAGGCGGTCTTGCTCTGAATTATCGTTTGGGCCGACGTAGATGCCGTCTTTGAAAGCATGATATGATCTGCCATTTTCAATTCTGAATTTGTAAATGCTAGAGGCGATCGAAGCTGTGGAGCTCCCAGTATCGTTGTCGCCCAGGGCTGAGTCATTGTCAGCAATGTTCCCCTCATCTGCTTCGAGTTGACCAGCGGGCTCTAGTGGCGCTGTCTGTTCGTGGGGTGATGATTCCTTTGCGGAAGGGGATTTTGACGTTGGAGGTGACCCTGCCATGCTTGCAAACTTTATATGATAACTTGAGCAAAGTTCAGCGGGGGTTGTACAGGGAAGAGTGTCTTTCGGAGGTGAGATATTTTGACAGCTGGCGTATGCGAAAAAGAAAGGCTGGCGTCAGCATGAGGGGAAACCCGGTTAGGAAGCCGTATGCACAACCCTGCAGTAACGTCGGATACGGGGAAACCGGCCACCCCCAGAAACCGGCCACCCTCAACAAAACACCAAGAACAAGATAGCATTAGGAACTTAATTAATTAACTACTACTACATTTTTCTAATTAAATAAAATTTATATTAGTAAATATTTAAATAAAACTAAGCATAAAGATCCTTAAATTTAATTTTTTAGATATAATATAATATTCTTCTTAGCTATATAATGCGTAATAATCGCATCTTCCCAAATAGCGGGTTATAGTTATTCCGGGTCTTAGTATT